ATTATGATGACTGTATTACATGTCTAACATGTATTTATCATTTATCCCATAGAATGTTGCGAACCAATCAAATTACTTGCGTTACAAATGATTCGTTCAGTGATTTGGATTCATTAAGATTACTGTGAGTCTAATTATATTAATTCTGTTATATATAATTATATTATTGGTGTTATATTAAGTAACATTTTGTTGATTTGATATATACAATGATTTTATTTATTATATCACTATAACGTTAACATATTGATAGCACGCAGGGGTTTAGGTATGGGTTTAGTCACGAAATTGTTGGGCAATCGTAATGAATGGCACAAACTTTAAGGGGTATTGAAAATCGCGTCTAACTAATAGTGCTATTGAATGGCTGGGAATGGAGTTTAAGAGCATTTGTTTAATTGTTTAATGCATTGAATTGGATAACACGTTGACTACTAATTGGGTAGACATTAGCGATGGTATAATTAGTTTTGGTCTTATATTTGGTCAGTTCGTTATACGATAATAAGATCCGGTGCATAATGCCCGGTGCCTTCGACCAACTCAAGGCATTAGCAACACTCAACTTATTGTCAAATCCCCTCAATTGTAACTGTCATATGAAATGGCTATCCAATTGGCTCAAGAATCACAATATTGTCACAGGTTTGATATGCTTTTCATATACTTGTTATATACATGTATTTGTTATATAGTTTGCATTTGATTGCTTGATTGCTTGATTGTTTGATTTGGTAATTGAAGGCAATCCCAGATGTCAGACACCCGTCGACTTGAGGGACATTCCCATTGAGGACATCGAGCCCAAGGACTTTGAATGTTCGGAAGTAGAGCGCGATTACGCCGACTGTGGACCGGACTCTCAATGCCCGTCGCGATGCATCTGCACCGGCAGTGTTGTGCGCTGTTCGCGGCAAAAGTTGAAAGCTGTGCCCCGATATGTGCAGCCAATCACTACTGAATTATATCTCGATGTGAACGACATCTCTACCATTCCTCATGAACTCAATCAATTGCGAGACTTGACTCGACTCGACTTGAGTAATAACCAGATCGCTATTCTCGAGGACAACATATTTGGCAATTTGTCTGAATTGCAAACTCTGATCCTCTCGTATAATAAACTGCAATGCATTCAAAAGGATGCGTTCCGAGGGTTGAAGAAATTGCGAGTTCTGTCACTGCATGGAAATGACATCTCAATGATTCCCGAGGGCTCGTTTGTGGACCTCATCTCCATATCGCACATAGCTATGGGTGCGAACCCTCTCTTCTGTGATTGCAATCTTCGATGGCTCGCAGAATGGATTCAAAAGGATTTTGTTGAGGGTTTGTTACACTCGTCTACACTGTTGTCTACAAAGTTGTCAATTTGTGATCATATCTATCAAAATAGGAGGGATAGCGCGGTGTCACGAACCGAGGCCTATGAGAGATAAGCTGATAATGTCTGCGCCGCCCAACCATTTCATATGCACCGAAGACACTGACCCTTCAATACTGGCTAAATGTGATTCGTGTTATTCGTTTCCGTGCGCTAACGGCGCCACCTGTAGATCGCGGCCATTGCGGGACTACCAGTGCGAGTGCGCGCCCGGCTTTCACGGCCTTCACTGCGAGTATAAGATTGACGCGTGTTTTGGCAACCCTTGCGATAATGCGGGCACTTGTAAAGTGATGGAAGCGGGAAGGTTTAGTTGTCATTGTCCTCCCGGCAAGTATTGATCGTTATTGAGATGTGAATTGAATGATTGAATGGATTGTGTGATAGGCTATGACGGCGACCGATGCGAGACTAATATCGATGATTGTAAGGCAAACAAATGTGAGAACAACAGCACATGTATCGATCAAATCGAGTCTTATCGGTGCCATTGTTTGCCTGGATTTGGCGGAGAATATTGCGAAACAAAGATACAGTTTTGTCATAAAGAATACAATCCATGCAAAAATGGCGCTCAATGTGTCGACCATAAGACACATTATCAATGTCTGTGTGGGAAGGGATTTAGTGGTTACAACTGTACGGATAATGTAGACGATTGTGCGGATAATTTGTGCCAAAACGGGGCCACTTGTATGGATGGTGTGAATAGCTATCGGTGTGAATGTCCGGTTGGATTTGCGGGCAAATTCTGTGAATTGGCGCCTATGGTTGAACTCTACCCTCAGACCAGTCCCTGTCAACAACACGACTGCAAACATGGCGTTTGTTTTATGCCATCCGGTAATGTTTGCTCATAATTGCAATCACTGACAATACACTCATTACTGTATACTATGAATAGGTTCGTCGGACTATATCTGCAAATGCAGTGCCGGTTATACGGGAAAGCGATGTGAAATGATGTCCTCCATATCGTTTAGAGAGGGCTCTTATCTAGAGTTGGATCCCTTGAAGACCATCCCTGACGTGAATTTGACGCTCAAGTTTGTCACCCGAAAGGAGTCGGGAGTTGTGCTGTATTGGGGAGAGAGTCAACACTTGGCCGTTGAGTTGTTTAAGGGAAGGATCCGTATTAGTCTGGATGTCGGCAATTATCCGGTCTCTACAATGTTCTCCTATGAGATGGTAAGCGACGGACGCTATCATCAAATCGAGTTCTTATTGGTCAAGAAGAACATCACAATGAGAGTAGACGGCGGACAACAGCGCACTATCGTTAACGAAGGTTCCAAAGAGTACTTGGAGTGCAAGTCGTCGTTATATATCGGAGGAATGCCTGAAAAGGTGGCCAACAATGCCCTCAAGAATTGGCAGATTTGGAATTCTTCGAGTCTCGAAGGTTTGTGAAGATGTGATTGTTTTGCAAATGTTGTCATTCTATACAATGCTATATCCAATGCTATACAGGATGTATGCGCGAGATATTGATGAACGGGAACCCGCCTGACCTGAACGGTGCCCGCCGTCAGCATTTGGTACAACCGGGTTGTGTTGAGTTCGATGACATCAATAAGCCGTGTCTCAATCATTTGTGCCAAAACGGCAAATGCGTGCCGACTAGTGATCAACAGACATATGAATGCAAATGCAGGAGTGGATGGAACGGTCCCTTTTGTGATCAGGGTTTGTACACATGACTGCTTGAACATTGAACATGATCAATTTATACAATATGTATGTATCACACACAGCGCCCACCTGTCAGAAAGAAATGAAACGAGACTTCTATTACTCGGACACGTGTCGGTCGACCAAGAAATTAAAATTATCGCAATGTGTGGGCAGTTGTGGTGACAACTGCTGCAAAGCATTGAAGAGTAAGCGCCGATCGGTGCGCATGGCCTGCACTGACGGATCCAAGTTTACCAAAGAGATTGAAATGGTCCGCAAGTGTGGCTGTAGTGGCAAGTGTTGAGTCACCGATATATACAGTACACAAGTATTCACGAGTATTCAAAAGCAATTACAAATGCCATCTAAAAGCTATTACTTACTAATTTGATGCCAAAAGGATTATTACAACTAAATAACTCATTAATCAATTCATTTCAATGGTTTAACCACTAATTAATACCTCATTGAAAGGCCGCACAAATGAACACAAAGCACTGTTAAATCGTTTACTGCCATAAATAAAGTCATTATTTTGATAATAATTAAATGAAAACTCAATCACAGACTCGACAACAATAACTGTAATACTAATGTGGACTCAAATCTCATGGAATCTCAGACTATCTGTTCTGCAACTAAAGCAATGAAATGAAGTCACAAACAAAACATCTCTTTTAAAGTTATTCGCAATTCTCATGTCTTTTACCGCTTTGTATATAAAAGTTTTTGTGTATAAAAATTTAAGCCTAAACTATGCTATAAGTTGTGTTCAAATTTACATTAATTTAATTATTTAATTAATACTAATATTATTATATATTAACAATATATTCGGAGGGAAACGTTTTGTATATAAATTATTTAAATCATATTTAAATTTATTAGAATTTATTATTCATTTATTTACCAAACCTTTTAAAGTATTTTAAAACATTTATAAACATTTAAATATTATTATAAATTAAATAAAAGATTTAAACTTTATTGTATTGATTGTATTATTTTTATCATAACGTCAACAATAAAACAATCAAATCTTTACTATAAAAATCGATTACATTTACAATGTAACAGAATGAATACAATAAACATATGATAGTATAAACTGCATTCCACATATAGTGGCAAATAGGGTTTCAAAACTTCGAATATGGGCATTATTTGTGAAAAATTGCTCAAAATATTTGGACATTTTCCGGGATGATTGTAATTTGTTGTATTGCAGTTCATTATATTAACTATAGTGACCAAAAATTGTTCGAATAATTGAAGACATTTACTCAAAATTTAGTTCCTAGCAGAGGAAGCACGGAATACACTTTATTTTTTGCATTAATTGCTGAGTTTATATCTTAAGTTCATAGGTTAGGTTAGGTTAGGTTAGGTTAGGTTAGGTTAGGTTAGGTTAGGTTAGGTTAGGTTAGGTTAGGTTAGGTTAGGTTAGGTTAGGTTAGGTTAG